GGTGCAACTTTGTTACATTGTAATGAAAACCAACCTATATCACTCATTGAAATGTGTCATCAGAAAAATTATAAAAAGATAGGAAAATATTTAAAAAAACAGCTCAATAAACAGTTTGCTACTGCTATATTTGATAATGATAAAGAAGGCGCAGCAGCTTTCGAAGGTCTCAGTGCCGATTTCAACTGTATAGATATACAAGAGCGAACCCCATTGCATTACGCAGTAGAATACCATACTAAAGATCTTGTCTCATGGCTTTGTGAACGTGGAAGTGATCCAATGATACATGATGGTAATGGTGATTATCCAATTACTCTTGCAGCTGAAAAAGGTAGGTTATTCGTTATGTGTTACAAAAAAATCTTTTCTTATTCAGTTTACTTTGAAAGATTTTATCGTTACGAAGATAGTTGAAGCATGAGTCATTTTCTTTATTTTAGGTGATTTTGCTATTGTTGAATTTCTTGCAACTAAGTATCCGGCAACAAAACAGAAAAAGAACAGAGCAGGTGCAACAGCTCTTCAAATAGCACAAAAACAAGGATTCAAACGTATTGCTCAAGTACTACAACTCAATGAAGTTTCTGAAAATTCTAAATCGATCGATTTAAAAATAACTACTATACCCAAACATAGCCGTCAGGTACTTGTTGGTGCCTGTGAAAACGGTCGAGCCAAAATTATTCAAGAATTTTGCATGGAATGTTATGAGTCTAGAGAGGAGAAAAGACAGTTATGCTGCGAACTCATCGAGATAGCTAAGACATGTAATCAAGGAGAAATAGTCGACATTCTTCAAATTCATCATGATCAAAATTTAAAAAGGGATATACCTTCTAATATACAATTTGACAAAATAGTAATGCTTAATGACGAATACAAGGCAATGTTACACGGACTTTTGGTTGGTTTGAATACAGTTATAACAGGAATGTTTGCTGATCTTGATCCTGCCGACCCTAATACGTATGTAGATCTCTTTTCAAACTTGAATTTAAATGTACAAAAACAATCTCAAGAGCTTGTAAACGCAAATACGAATGATGAAATTCGCAAACTAATCCAAAAAGATTTGAATTATTCCAATGAAAAATTAACGAAAATTGAGAAACAATTAAATGAATTACAAAAAAATAATCAGATGGTAATAAAAATTGTGGAAGAAAACGACGAACGTTTGAATAATATGCCAGATTTATCTGCTATCGAAAGAAAGAAAATTTTTGATGAACAAGAAATACAAAGAAACAAACTCGCTATGTATGAATGTTCAATGGATCTGTTTCTTCGGGAAAGAGAAAATCTAGAAAAAAAGCAAAAAACCATTAAATTTATTAAAGATAACTCCAATTTATTTCTATTTTATCGAACAGTTGAAAATCGATTACAAGCATTATTCACTAGTGTTCTAGCAGCTCAAGGTGGCTACTTGCAATCTACTACTAAGAAATCATTGAAATTAACAGCGGCAAAAGTAGCCCCACATGCTCTAATCAATGCGATAGATTTTGGAAGAAAAAAAATCGACTTGTTATCAGATTTTTGTGAGTATTCCTTTTTCTTACAGGAGAATATTTGTCAGGGTGTGGGTGTGAAGTTAATATCTTACTTACATCTATGCTTGCACCAAACCTACACCTTTTAAAATGTATTTACGTATATAGAATGAGTCTTTTATATAGTGCCGGCCGCTAGCTTGTTGAAGCCTGCTACATACGTAACTGATCAAATTGTATCAAAGCTCAATCAAAAGCGACAGAAAAAGGAATTTTACAATATCTCGGTATTGGGCAATTTTGAAGAACTTCAGTGTGCTGCGTCAGACACAGCTGCCCTTCTTACACTCTATTACAAGCAACAAATTGAATCTATTGATACGCAAACAAGAATTACAGGCAGTAACATCTTTAACGATCAACTTTACTGGATTAAAGAAGTTTTCTTAAATGTCCGTCCTGAAAGCGATACGGAAAAGGCTGTTGTGATTGTCGCTGAATACATCACAGCATGTCTACTTGATGCGCTCAAAACTGGTGGACATAAAGATATCATATCAACTGTTCCATTATCTGAACAACTTTGGCTATGTGCAGCTAAATATAACCCGAAAGAACAACGAATAGCTGATACTGTCGGATTTACGGCTGGTAAACTACTAATACCAATAACCATAGCGACATCCAAAACGAGGACTTATGAAGTGCAGTTACGGCATTTTATTCGATATGTATCATTAATTACCAACGAAGGTGCTATTTATCAATATCCAGTATCACCAAAGGATCTTCAAGACAATAAATATCCAGATTTAAACATTTTTGGATATGTTTACTTAGCACCATTTACTCCGGATAAGAAGGTTGCCGACATCATTATCGAAGAAAGACATTTAGTACCTGCTAAACATAATGCCAGAGGTGATATTCTAACAAAATTCAAAGATATTATAGACTTGAAAAATGTCATCCAAGTGGAAAACATCGGTACTCAATCAGCTGCTAAGTCGCAAACAGCTTTTGAAGTAGCCCAAATGCTTCGTGATCAAAAGACCTTTGTGCATTCGGATCATCTCCAAGCCGAGCTGGAAAAATCACGAATTGAGATTGAGAATGAAATCGCGATTCTTAAAGCTGATATTACAGAAAACATTAAAATATATCAAGCATCGATCGATGCAGACAATGAACGTATCAGACTTGAACTTTCTCAAACGCAAAAGATGTTAGTAGAACAAAATGAGAGGCAGTTTAATGTTGCGTTGAATGAACTCAATGGGCAGATGGAAGAAGTACTGAGGCAATTAGAATCTTTTGGAAAACATACCATAGAAAAAATGCAGAAACAGCTAGAAGCTTCTAATAACCATCAAATTGATCAAACTCAAAAACAGTTAGAATCTTACAGTAAAAAACAAACACTAGACATTCAAAAACAGTTGGTATCCGAAAACAAACTTCAAGTACAAGAAATTCAGAAACAATTAGAATCATATACTAAACTTCAAATAGAGCAAACTCAAAAACAGTTAGAAATCTACGCCAAAAACCAAATACTTGAAACTCAAAAGCAATTAGAATCCCACAGCAAACTTCATATGAAAAAATATCAAAAACAACTAGCACAACAAAACAAACGTGAAATGAAGGAAATAACAAACCATATCGAAGCTGGATTGCACAGTGCGAGAATTACACGTGGAAGACGTGGATCTGCATTACTAACTACTAGTTTTTAAGAATCAAAAGCGGTGTACGTGCTCTTAGACAATCTGATGACGAAATTAATATATACGAATTTCATAAATATCTGTTCTCTTGTTTATTTAAAATCTTAATTGCCTGAATTCATTTATGCATAAATATGGTATCATAATGTTAGTTCCATCGAATAGTTGAAGATGTTTCCGTTAAACTGCAATCTCGATCCTGCTTGATAGTCTCAATCTTGAGGGTGTGGGTGTGGGTGTAAGTATCTATACTCTTAACTGCACACCTTTCAGCGCACAAAACATGTTGCCATCAAACTCTGCATGTAAACACATACATATAACTTCATCTAATTAAATTTAATAACTAAAAAGCGAGAATCGAGAACTATAAATCGAGTTCATTTTGCAAGTTCATATAAGTTCGTCTTATTTCCTACTCTTGATGATTGCAAAGATAATGCACAAAGGTATGGTTAAAACAGTCAGACCAACTCCAACCAACAGGCATACTAGTCCAGGTGTTGAATTGGGTTTTTTCCATTGAACAGAATTCTTACCGGGTGTTTTGTCGTAGTAACATTTATGAGTAGAATTAATCTATGAACAAAAAACGATGACATGAATACCTATCAGAAGCACATTAAACTGATACTTACAGGATATTTTTCCAGTTCTTTCTGCGCAGCAGTAAACCTTGCCTGAGACGGTCCTTCAATTGATACGCGCGCTTGAAAGTCGTTTATTGTGATCCTTGTATTGTTAAATTCAACAAACCATACTGGAAGGTAACACGAACCGGACGCTTTAATATTCGTAACACTAACACTGTTTGTCTTTTCGGGATCAGTTAGGTGTAAATATAGATCTTCAGTATGAGAACGCTTACATGTACGACTGTCTACTTTCGCATCCAACACCAAGCATATACTCTGAGCAAATTTATTTTCTTTACGACGCGTTATACCAAAGATTGTACCACCTGTTATAACTAAAATGATGGCAATAGATCCGAGAATGACTGCACCACAGCAGCGCTTGCGTCCAAGCGGATCCTTTGAGTTAGACACTCCAGACATAACAACGAAGGTTTTTTAAATTCTGAGATGTCCGTCGTATGATACTCGAAAGTCGCAACAGTTAGTGTTTTTTTTAGATAAGACCGGTTGAAACAGAGAGCTTCTGCGACAGGCCTTTATCTTTTTCGTAGGCACCTCTAAACAAGCCATATCATCTACTTGATGGTGTACGTGTGGGGTGTAGGTGCGGGTATGGGTGACTGAGGATTATAGAGATAAAGGAGAGACACTCA